GAATAAAGGTAGCTTTTTAAAAAGGATATAAAACATAAATACATGTAAGCATCTTTTTATGTTTTTATGGCAGCGAGTCTGATTTTTTAAGCTTGTGTTTCAGCTTTATTGAAAGAAGTGTTAATAGTTACTGTTACTTAGCAGGACTGTGTAGCTGTGCAATGTGCTCATAAAGTCTATATAACTTCATCCTCTTGTGCAAATATGGTGACTTGTGACGGCCATAAAGTTAAGTGGATGCTTCAAAATGCAGAGTTTAGAAGCCACTGGGTGACGTCACTGTGGCTAAGTCCATCTTTTATTTAAAATCTATGGCAGAGCCAGAGCATACACGGAAATCAGTGCTGAGTCGCGTGAGCTCAGGCAGAAGGACGGAGAAAAATATTGAAAATCGAAAATTTAGAACAATCTGAAGCCTGAGGTTCGCTTTGGCGAACAGGGTTTAACTGCGCATGAGGTGAGAACATTATTTTTAAAAAAACAAACCCAACCAGATCTCACGTGTGCAACCAGCACACGTGTAGCATGACTTGCCAATAAACTACTGGTAATGTCATAAAACCTGTTAACTGACTGGTGTCAAACCTTTCACAGCTTTCTCAACAAGAAACAATGAAACGCATACTCACTGCAGTTTTCTATCATCAAATTGAAAAGGGATATTTTCTCGCCATCAGACAAGCAAGACAACATTTGGTTATCCAGGTCACCGCGTTCTTGCCACTGCTTCAGCCAGTAGAGCTCACACGAGCAAATGAGAGGGTTGTCTCTCAAAACGCTGAAAAGAGAAAACAATAAACAACGACTTGAAATTATTAGACATGAATCAAAAACACGTTCTGTCCTCATGCAAACAGTTTTAACTCACTGTTATATACAAATACCCTCAAAGTGTTTCATTTGAAAGCTTCTAATACAAGTGCATGACAAGGAATGTATAAAATAATTGATATAAATCCTTGAAGAATTATCTTTTATTAGAAAATAACCATTCGTACAGACAAGCTTCTATACTTGCAGGAACCTTACAAACTACATGCTGAAAGAATACGACAGTCAACTTAGAAAAGAAGCAGTTAACTTTACAATATCTAAATATGTTCACCTCTGAACTGAATCAACAATTAAGGACGTGTAGTTATAGATGAGGCACAAAGACTGTTTCCCAGGTTAGTTTAGTTTCATGCTGAATAACACCTCTGTCCTTGGGCTAGAAAAAGCTAACAGCAAAAGTATAACTGACCAAAGTTCTCACCAGAAACAGAAACAGCAGGAACAGCACTGGGCCATGAGGTCACTGTGGCCTGAAAGGCCGGTCACATGACCATATTATACTGGGCAGTTGCTAGTTCAGGAGTGACCAGCTCACTCGCAGCCCAACTTTAAGTAAAGTGGGTGAAATCCATAAATGAACTCATTTTACACCTGTATGCCCTCCAAAAATAAGAAATAATAATTTAAAGAGCTAAAACTAACACTGAAGCTAAATAAAAACTAAACTAAAACTATTTTCAAATTATAAAAACTAAGTGAAATAAGAATATCTAGTCTGGAAACTAAATGGATTTAAACCAATGAGTCAAAATGAAATTGTCTTGATGCAAACATGATGTGAAGAAGTCACTTTGATTAGTTATGAGACGTTTAACCCACTGAAAACTCTACGTCCAGATGAACAGAATCAACTCTTTCTTCCTGAACCAGTTCCAGTGATTTCCAGCAAAAAGCAGTTTTTTGCTTTCTGTAACAGAAAAATGTTTCCAATTGCAGGCTGGTTTTGAAGAGGAACCACCGTAGAACAGCCCCTGCATCAGCTCCAGCACTCAGTACGAAGGCTGGATAAAACACACATTCTGACTTCTGAAATATGAGTTTCTGGTGCAAAGTATAATCAAAACTCCAAAGATTGCGCTCTCCTTCTCTGTCTCTGCAATTGTCACACTTTCAAAGCCATCCAGCTGCAGGTTCTTGCGCCTGGTGCAGTCAAGTTTTCTTCCAAATGCACTCTATTTTTATCCAGAAAATTCAACTTGGGTAACTTAAAGCTTGTAGAGCAATTCTGTGAAGGTAATGTGACCAACTGACTGTATGCACACTGTGTGGATGGAGAGCTGAGGTCAACTATGAGGGTAACCACAAAGCTCTGTCATGTGTTGGCACTAATGGCCATATTTTTTCATGTGGTCTGCTGCTGCAGAACAGTTGCTTACCCAAGTTGGACCTTTGAAAATTATGACATTTTTATCACCACGCTAGCTAACACAAATTTTAAATGGTTTAGATGGTAAATGGCCTGTATTTATATAGCGCCTTACTAGTCCCTAAGGACCCCAAAGCGCTTTACATATCCAGTCATCCACCCATTCACACACACATTCACACACTGACAGAGAGAATTCTTACTCCAAATTCTAAACAGACTCACAGGTTAAGCAGAGGCAGAAAATGAAACACCTTCCAGCTGATGTGCTCCAGAGAGTTTGATGCCAAGTTTCTGTCAAACAAAAAGAGAAGACAGGTGACATTGTGAACACTTCTTAATTCTCCTTTGTTGCACCTTAAGCTTTTACACGTGACATCTTTGCTGTGTCTGGATTTTACCTTTCCAGCAGCACAGACAGACAATAGTTGTCTTATTGTGCTGTCTGTTCAAACGCTGCTTTGTGAAGGAGCGCGGTTCCAAAAACAAACCAAAACAAAGCTATTATGAGTCGAAATACAGGAAAGATTCAAGTAAATATGTTATTTTTCTTTGTAGTAATCTGGTCCTGTTCTCCAGTTGAGTCACGCTGTGATTTGATTGCTCGCTTTCAGAACAATGTGTACCTGCCTTGAATTACACTCAGTGGAAAACGTTAATGCATCCAAATGGGTCCTGATCAATTACCTTGGCACGTATTTCACACCAGCCGAGAAGCCACATTCACAAGCACCCCCGGCACATCTCTCAGTGTTTGCTTAGAGTTCAGTACATTAGGTGATTAGTTCAGTTCGCAAACACTTCTGGGGTGAGGGACGGGGCCCAGCAGTAA